CTTCCAAGTGAGTGTTCACATCTTGCGACTTAGTGAAGATGTAGATATCATCGTAAAACGATCTTGTCTGTTTCAATCCCCGGAAAATCTTCGACGTCAACCTGTGCATGGTTGCCGGCGCATTACAGACTCCCATGGGCAACACAAGATATTCCCAGAGTCGTTCGTAGCTTGAAATGCTATGAACTTGATGCCTTCTTTGCGCATTCGGACTTGGTAGTACGCTGACATAAGATCCATTGTTGAAAAGTAGTACGAGCCAGCCATACCGTCCATGATGTCCTCTTTTCTGGTCATTGATACACTCTGTCGGATCGTGTTCATTTTGAGGTAGCGGTAGTCGTGGACAATCCACCACCCAACCGGTATCCGCACACAAAACGTCGGTGCTGCTTGAGGACTGATGCTTGGCCTGATGAGCTTCTTTCTGACCATATCTTCCACTCAGTGCACGATTTCACGTTATTGCTCCGGCGACTGACGCCGCGGCTGACGGTACATTGCTAGATTGGTATCTCGCACATAAATTCGATGATCGATCGCACGCTTCTCTGGTAGACCCTTAGAGGGTTTTGGACGAAACACGGTGTCTTTGTATTCCTTCAGTAGCTCGTAGACTGGATTAGCTCGAAAGCTATCCCAATCTGTATCCAGATAACGTTGAGCCTTTCACTGCCAACGCTGTCCGGTTGATCACGTCGTTGTAACGTACTTGCGACGCGCTTGATCTTATTATTCGACAGAACCAGCATAAAATCAGGTTCGTCAGAAGTCTTCGTCTTGATTCTCAGGAACTTTCTCAGCTTCTTCCACGTGATGTGCTTCGTCTCCACGCCAGCTGCGTCGACAACTCCCATCGTGAACATTCTCTCCATGACGCTGTCTTTACCCCCAGCACTACTTTTCACCGTAGCGCCTTTGTTTAGAGTCGACCTCTTGTCGCTTCCCTCCGTCGAATCTCCGTTGTCTGATTCGCGGTCGAGTTGCCCGCAAGCAACTCCTGGGGTATCAGTTCTGCACAGTTTCGCCAGCAAGATCAGCGTGGACCTCACATCCGTTTCGAGCGCGGCGCCTCTACACGAATCAGGTCTTTTCGCCGACTAACCTTTCGTTCAGGCAGATCTCCGAAGCCCGGAGCAATCACCTGTCCGCCTTCCTCGATCAGTCCACTGC